CGCTAAAATAGAAAAAAGTTATGTTTATTTTTTTTTTCAAAAAAAGGTAGTAAACTTTATTAATATTTAACAGAAAAAATGATAGTCCTATATATATTTGGGTCCTGTTAAAAATATTTTACTGCTAAGGGTTTGTGATTCCTGGGGTAGCAGATGTGGTAGATAGGAACACAGCCCTGGAGTAAGATTGGCAGTATTCAAACTGGCTTCCCCATGGAGTAACCGTGTGACCAGGGCTATTCACCTGACTGCAGCAACAGGACCCACCTTGGGACAAAACGCTGAAATAACACAACATGCTTAGTACACAGTGGTCACTCAGCAGTGCTAACGCCAGCAAAGAAGGATACCCATTCAGTGACTTTATATATATTCATGGTGAGGATAAATGTATAGAATTGTCATTTTCTTCCCCGAACATCACTGGCTCCTCTCCAGCTGAAGGCGGCACAGGCACTTCCCTTTGTTGGGAGTCCTTAGTCTCTTGTTTCCATAGCTAGCTTCTTATTCAGACCTGCTTCATGACCTGCTCAGTGAGGCTTTTTCAGGCTACTTAATCTGAGATGCCCACGGTCAGTATCAACCGTATCATTTTATTTGAATTCTCTCTATATAATCTACCACTTGATTTAATTTTTGTTGTTAAACTCCATTCACTGGAATATAAGAATCTCCCTTGTTTTCCATTGTGTCCTAGCACCTCGATCGAGGCCAGACATGTGAGTGCTTAAAAAAACAATTGCTAAGTTAATGAATCACTCTGCAGAGATTATAATGAAAGAGTCAGAGAAAGGGAGGGAGATTCAAAATTCCGGTTTAGGAAAAAATGTCCTTTCCTGCCTTCACCTGCCCTGCCCAGGCCCTGAACCAATGTATCCGTATGTCAGTAGACTCCGACCTCCGAACTGGTGCAGTTTCAATGCAGCCTCTTGCTCTTTTAGAACTGTCCTCTCTTGTGACTTAGGATAAGCCCTGGCCGCCTACATGTCCCTGTGGCACAAGCTTCCTCTTCCTAGTGCTTTTTATTTCTCCCTTTCCATCAACCCTACTGGCGAGGCCACTGCTAAAGACTACTCTTGCCCGGCCGGGCGTGGCTCTGCAGTTGAGCATCGACCTAGGACCCAGGAGATCGTGGTTCGGTTCCTGGTCAGGGCACATGCCCGGGTTGCGGGCTCAGCCGATCAATGACGACTCTCTCATCATTGATGTTTCAACTCTCTCTCTCCCTCTCCCTTCCTCTCTCTGGAATCAATAAAGATATATTAAAAAAAAAAAAGACTATTCTTGCTGGACCTGTGTAGATATCAATACTTGTCCCAATTCAGTCCCTTTTGAATACTGATTTGGATCACTGCCCCCATTCCTACCCATGCCTATAGCTGGGTTAGTTCCCACAGTCGTCTTCTTTCCACCATCCCTTGCTGCTGAGATCCCAGCATTCTTTACAGTTAGTCCCACAAGGTTTAGGACCATTAAAAAGATGAAAGGAAGAGTAGGACTGGATTCAAGACTGCCTTTTGAGGTTTATACAATGCCTATGTAACTTGTAACAAATACCACTGCCTTGGAGCGTTAGCTCTCAGGTATAAGAACCGTTATTTCTCTATTTTGGTTATTGTCATAGTATCCAGGACCGCCTCATGTACAGGTAGGTGCCCCAATAAATACTACTCCTGGATGATAATCCTTACAAGCCCAATGCTAGGGTGTCGTTCTGATGCTCTTTTGCTGCATAAATAACTTCTACAAAGCTTAGTGCCTTTAAATGGCAATCACTGATTTTATTCACAAATCTGCAACGTAAGTAGGGCTTGGTGGGAAAGCTTGCCGTCTGCATAGCATCAGCTGGGGAAGCTGGGCTCCCTGACGTGGTGCTGTGTTTTCAGAGCAAGTGTCCCAACACACAGGAAGTGGAAGCTGGCAGACAGAAGCAGGCGGTGTCGCTCTGTGTGACACTGGGCAAGTAGTCCTGGAGCTCAGCTTTAAGGGAATAGACACGCCTCCTGATGGGTGGAGCCTCATATTACAGTATTCATATTATCAAAGAATTTGGGGCATGTCATCTTAGATATTCACCATTTTCATTTATTTTATTAAAATACACTAAAAAATCAAACAAGAAACCTGTGGGTCAGATCATAGTAGGAATTAGAATAGTATACACAAAAGAAGCTATTTAAAAAAAATCGCCTGACTCTGGAAAAGCAAGCACTCAACATTTTGAGCTACTGGATATATCATTTACCCTAAATACTGTGAAACACAACACATTAAGAGTCAAATTGAGGGTTATTTGAATAATCTCAAGAAGGTAATGTAACTACTAAGCTACCTTAGTGTTGTTAACTCCAGCCTCTGAAAAAGAGGAAGAAATAAATACCTAAACTGTTCTCTAGAGTTAACATTTTTGTTCTAAAGCATTTGAGTTTGGTCTTGTGGGCCACTTGGAAGATATTGTGAACTTTTATAAAAAACTGAATTCCAGAGCAAAGTAACGTTTACTCTGTTTGGTGGTGTAAATAGTATTTGAACGAAATGAAAGTATATGTATTCAGTTAACTCTGGGATCTGGTATTCTGAAGTCAGAATGTGTAATTCATCTTAGAGGGGGGAAAAGTAACAAAAATAGGAAGGTTATAAAATTTCCACTATTCATTGTAACCTCTTCTATAATAAACAAAGCAGAGGTTTTGATTTGGCAAATAATGTGACTATACCTTCCCCAACTTTTGCCCCGCGTTTCGCCTAAATATTTTTTAATTGTTGGCTTTCTAAAAGATGCTCTAGAATTAGACAGGAAGAGGTAGAGGTGCATGCTATTTCTGGTCAGCATCTGCTGTGCTGGAACATGAAAGATCTTCCCAATCTATTTTCATTTCTTTCCTCCTGGATAATCCGATTTTGCATCAAATTGATCGCTCGGCCTCTCCATGTCACTTTTCTTTCAATAAAAAAGGTCGCTTATAGTCCCAAGGTGGGGAAATGGTCTCTTTTTGTGAAGGGTAACACTCAAAGGCCAGTCCATTAAATGGAGTGACCTGTCAGACCTCCAAATAATGCCTGAGTGGTGTGTTCCAAAATGCTGAAGTTCAAAATTTAAATTGATGCTTTTTACTGGTGGGCCTGCTCTTGGAGATTTTATTTAGAGGAAAAACTGAAATAAAATGTGTTTTATGGCTGACTCTGAAGGATTAATTTTTTTCCCCAAGATGTAATTACTAGGGAAATCCCTCACTTCCCAGATAGAAAGCACCTCATGTCCTTGAACTCTCACACGTAAAAAAAGACACCAGCACTGAAATTCTGAAATCAGTCATCCGTTTAAGAAACAGCAGGTCACGTTGGAAAGGAGACTGAACCTGAAGTTAGACATCCTTAGTTAGAGCCCCAGCTTCGCCGCTTACCAGTTGTGTGTGTCTCTGAGCAAGTGCTGTTTGAGCAGCCCCTTTACTGTTTGGTGTCCTCATTTGTAGAGTAAGGACACTGTCATCCACTGTGGCGTCCTGACAGAGCTCTGAGGTTAGACGGTGTATCCAATGAGCAAGTGCTTGATAAATTTTAAAGCATCATATAAATAGGAAGTATTAGCAATCACTTCAGAAGCTTTGATGAAAATATATGGATTTTTGTAAGTTGTGGTTGTTAACATTTCACTATAAATACATCATACAGTGTGGTTAATAAGATACATTTTCTAAGCTCAAATATAATGAATGTCTCATACTAATTAAACAAGGTATAACTTCATTAAGGACAGCAACCAAGGGTTATACGTCTCTTTGTCCCTAACAGTTCTGTGTAAGTTAAGTTGGTTGGTTGTTGATTTGTTGGTTGAGTGACCGATTGAGAAAGATATTTCTAAAGCCATTATTCCTCATTTTACAGAGGAATAAATCGGCCTTTTTAACATTTTGAATTTCCAGTTAAAAATTATTGGGTCCTCAAATAGTATATATAACTGCCAGGGGGAAAATGCCGTCTCACTGTTACACTGCTGCGGATTTCACAGGCAGCACTGCGGGATGTGTGGATGGGCTGGGCCAGAGGAGGAAGAACAGAGAAAAAACAAGCTGTTTTTCTGTGAAAGTGGAATGAGGGAAACCTTGGTATCTGTAAATAATAGTTGATCAAGCGAGAAAGATTATCTGGGTTTTTAATCTCTTTCACTGAAATCTGCCCTCTTACGTTTTCTTAATCTCGTTCTTATTTTTAAAAGCACATTTGAAACATGTAAAAAGAAATAATTTTATTCATTCTTCTGCAGATATATCCATGGGCTTGACTAATGGCTTTTGAAAGTTCAGATATTTTCATGCTGCTAGGCCTAAGGCATTTCCTTCTTGGAAATACCCTATCTTTAATCTCTAATTGCATTAAATTTCTGCGTCTGACTCATGAGGAAAAAGTTTCAAAGCAGAAGGGGGGGAAGTCCAATTTCTCTCTAAATATAAGAACCATTGACATATTTCAGACAGTGTAACACCTATGTTTCAAGTGTCCTAACCAGAAGAATCCAGTGTAAGGATGCGCCAGTTAAATAAAAAACTGTTTTTGTTTATTATAGATCTCCTTTCTCCAAGGAGATTTAAGCAAGGTGCTGAAATTAGGTAATTTTTACAGTAGGTCTCTGAGGGGCATAGAGGGAAGAGGCCATTACTGTTTTCATTCATCCAGTAAGTATTGAACAGTTACTGTTCATGACTCTGAACTTAATGTTTCACTTACTGTTTTCTCTCTTTAGAAGACATTTTTTCCCCCTAGTGGCTATTGAAAGAAAAGTTGGATAAGACTAAAAGTAAAAATAAGCGAAAATAGAGTTCATCCGTGGGTTCCAGTTCTCTGTTCTCCTAGTGGATTATGTGGGACTTGTAATTCATCTACCGACCCGCCGCTCTTCCTGCGCGCTGGCAGTCTGTTCCATGCTCACCGGCGTCTGTTCCACACGCGCCTTCTCAGTCCCCCACCATTCACGTTTCATTTTCTTCGCCTGTCTTTCCCAGGTAAAATGTCCAGTGATCGCGCTTTGAGGAAGCAGCAGCAGTTAAACAACCTTGTCTATGTGGTGACAAATCAGGCCAAACCTGGTGACAAAATTGTGGATTTCTGCAGCGGTGGGGTATGGTGTCTCTTCACGTATCTCTTCAGCCTTTCCTAGACTGTGTGACTTTATGTTATGAGATTGTTATCTCAGAAGGAGCAGGGGCCTTGGGGACCGACTTGAACCTGTTTCTCTTTCTGCCGCTTTCAGGGTCACGTTGGGATTGTGCTCGCTCATACGCTGCCGTTATGCCAGGTAAAGCCTGAGTGACAGATAAGAGAAAACATGGGAAAACGACATGGGTCAGGTAGCGGAGTCTGGCTTATCCCCGCTCTTTGAGTTTATAATCGCTCACCCAGGTCAAGTATGTGGCACAGGCATCCTCTTTTTCCTTTGAATTACACGTCTAAGATTCAGAATCTTAAGGAAACATATGCAAAGTAGCATCACAATAGTTTTCAACTTTTATGAAAGATTTACATTTTAAAATAATTTTTAAAAGAAATAACTATTCCATTGCTAAATAAAATAATGCTAAAACTAGTTTAATTGTCAACATAATTTTGTTCTGGAAATGCTAGCTTCTGAAACTTCCTGAGCGTATTCTTTTTTTTTTTTTTTAATATATCTTTATTGATTTCAGAGAAAGGAAGGGAGAGGGAGAGAGAGAGATAGAAACATCAATGATGAGAGAGTCATTGATCGGCTGCCTCCTGCATGCCCCCGACTGGGGATCGAGCCCCCAACCCAGGCATGTGCCCTGACTGGGAATCGAACTGTGATCGCCTGGATCCTAGATGGATGCTCAACCGCTGAGCCACGCCCAGCCGCACCTGAACATATTCTTTTGGTAGCTTGATTTTTATTCATTGTATCGATATTATAGCAACATTTTTAGAGAAAAAATAAATAAACCCCAGGCTACCGCACAGATACATGTAATGGTTTTCTTCCCATGTTCTCAATAAGTCCTTGTCTTTGAGGACACTTATTGTTGCAAATTCTAAAAATGCAAATACAGTTTTAGTTGTTTTTATTCAATATTGTATCATAACTGTTTTTCCCTATTGCAAATAGTTGTAAATGTTTCCATTAAAATATCACGAAAATGTGACTCCATAATGTTTTTAAGGAAATGTACCATTATTCACACAATCCTTGTCTCCCTTTTTTAGAAGTTTGCTGTTTTTAATCTTCTGTCGTATTAAGTCATTTCTTTGCAGTGACCATTTTTTAACATAAAAGTCTAGAATTTGATGTCATTTTTCAAAAACTACAATTGAACTGGGGGCACATTCTTTGCTGTGAGCTCTCTAGAAGGTGCAAAATAATTACAGTGATCACTCCACCCCCAGAAGAAAAGAGTGTGGAAGAACTCGTAGACGGGCGTGAATGACATGTCACAGGGCGATGGCAGTTGGAGGGATGGCATTATTATTTTATTTGCTTAGGAAGTAAGGCATAAAATAAATAAGGACTCCTGGGAGAAGCAGGCAGGTGTCTGCCTTATTATTTTAAAAGCAACAATCTCATGGTTGAAATAAGAGGAGAAAGCTCATAGGGGAGAACCCTGGAGAAACAGTCAGGGACACGGTGTCTTTTTTCCCCTCCCTAACAGTTCTCCTGGGAACGGAGACATTCAAACTGGAGAGGGGAAGTCCTGGCTAAAATAAAGAGTGGAAAGCCTTTGACACCAAGTACACTCTTACAGATGGGCTTATTTATACAAAGGATCCAGGGTTTTTCTGTAAAGACAAGCATGAGGAAGAAATTAGGGTAGAACTAGGAATGATAGCGACGAAAGTGACACTTCCACACACTTCTCCATCCAAACGCAGGATCCTCTCCCATCTTCCTTGGCCTGGATTCCTGTGAGGCTCCTAACTGGTTGGGCTGCCTTCTGCCTCACCCCCACCAATCCGCACTACACTCTGCAGCAACTGAAACTTAGTTTATCACCCAGGCTCTGGCTCCTGCTGCCCCTCCAGCCTGATTCCCACCCCCACCATCACCATCGCACACTGGGCCCCAGCTACACCAACTTTCTCAGTTCTTCAAACGAACAGTGCATTTCTCACCTTGGGCCTTCACACGCATTTCTCTGTCTGCCTGAAATACTCCTTCACTGCCCCAGCTCATTTCCATTCATTGTCCAAGCCTTGATTAATATGTTACTTCTCTATATGCATTGACTAAAACCTGCCTCAGTCATCAAGTCTCGGTGGTCCGATAACATATTACATGTCTTTACTGAGCACTTATCACTGTATTATAATTGCCTGTTTTACTTACATCACTATGACTGTCAGCTTCAAGAATTCGAGGACCTTGTTCATTTTTGCGCCGTATTATCCAGCATACTTCTTGGCACAGGATAAGGCTCAATATGATATATTCTGTATCATTAAAGTTGTGAAATACAGTAATAATACTTTGCCCTAATGTCTGAATTATGTTCCTGAATATGCTTTGTTTCCTGGGTGAAATCTAGGTTATATTAATAGAAAACAAGGAATTATCATTAATCCGTGCGAAGAAGAGAAGTGACGAGCTAGGTCTAAGCAATGTTTGGTTCATTCAAGCAAATATGGAGTATTTCACAGGAATGTTTAATATTGGGGTAAGTAATGAAGCAATTTCAATTTCCTTAGTGAAACAAATAAGAAAAATTATATGCTTTAGAGTAAATAAAGGAGATACTTTTATATTCTTTGGTAAACAAAGAAATGTATAACTTTTCTATTATCTATATAGCATAGCATACTAATGAATATTATTTTATTCATAACACTTTCTCACTACATGATAGAGATAACATTTGTTCCTCAACCAGATAAGAACTTTATTTTCTTCACTGAAGAATCCCCAGTGTCTAAAAACAGTGTTTGACACATAGAAAGTGCTTAAAAATAGCTCGAATGAATGAATGAATGAATGAATGAATGAATGAATGAATGAATGAAATGAATGAATTCTAATGAAGATGACTTCCCTTGATTTACTCTACATTTTTAGGAGATAATGAAAGAAAAGAAAAACCAAGAAGGTAACTGAAAAACATGGCTTGTTGGTAATCTGTAAATACTAGAGTTACCTTTAGGTAATTTTTACTGTAGCTAGGATTTGATATCTACATATATTTTTAGCTTCCAGAGACAGAAAATACATTAATCGTGTTTCCAAAACCTAGTGACCAAATTATTATGATTTGATGTTACTAAAAAGACCTAAGAAGCATGATTCTGCCAGCTCATTTAAACTCAAGATCCTGTGCTCTGGTGGAATTTAAATTTCATTAAGACTCATCAGCACTTCTATTACTGAGAGATAAATACCTGCTAAAAACTTTGCTCTTTAGATATTTATGTGATACAAATGCACATTTATATATGTGTTAACATCATTGAGATTATACATCTATCCTGCTTTAACTGAACATTGTCACAAATCTTTCCCCTACTAATTAATCATGTTTCTTTTTTTCATGTTGTTAAAATGTAATTATTACTATAATGAGTATCTTATGCATCAAGATGTTTAAGACTTTTGATACATTTGCCAAATCACTTTCTAGGAAGGTTGTACTAATGTGTACAACCTAATTTCCAACTATGTATGTTTACATAACATACACAATGTGCTCATCTAGGTGGAACTCTAATATCAGAAGCTCAGACCTTGTGGTACTTTTGATTTTTTCCCAATGAAGGTTATTCCTTAAATATCAACTACTGATAATGTGTGGGGTTTGTTATTTTTTACACACAAAAAGTATGCAGTTTGTTTCCTTTGTAGATACAATTTAGATTGGTTCTCTCAAGCCAAGCTGATATATAAAAAGAGAAGTAAACTTTAAGAAAACTGTTAGTAAGGCAGCTCTTCATAAGGAAAATCGAGCCATCTAATCCAGTAAATTCAAATTAAATATATATTTAAGTGCAGCTTAAATTGTACTTAAATGTTGAGGTAAAGATTAAAGCTTCTCCCATGAAATGAGTCATTGAGACAGTGCCCACGTTACCAGTACATCAGGCAGAATGTTTCAGGTAGCAAGAGATCGCTGCCCATCTACTGCCCTCTCAATTCACAGAATTCCCAGCCTATCAGCCATACGTCTCTTTATCCTTTTATGGCTTATAGGTGCTAAATTATTCTTGTAAGTTCCAAGGTCATAATTTACTAACACCAACTAAAAATGTATATGTCTTTTTGGAAGTAATATTTTCCCTATATTTCATAATAATATATCCATAGTAGGGTGTGTGTTTTTTACTTTCATAATTACCTTTGTCAAGATATATAGAAAATCTATTAAAATTACTTGGAAGGGGATTAAACCAAAATTAGATTTACTCTCAAGAAAACTATTTGCCTAGGAGAATAACTGAGGTATTGTCACTACATAAATCAAACTAAGTACACCAGTCACTCTAACTGTTGTATTAGATTCCGGTGAAAGTAGTGTAGCTAGAGAGGAAGTCAGAATAACCAGGCACTAGAAATGCATTAAAAGTGCATTAATCCCTGATTTTGTGATATTTCAAATAAGGGTTTAGTTGTCATTTATGTTTGTTTTGTAAATGCTTTTTCCCTTTACTGTTTTTCTTTAGATATAAAAATTAATGATGTAAACAAGATTTTAAGGGGAGGATTTTAAAGTCTTAGATCCAACTATCTTTAGGAACTTTAAACAAATGATTTATATATAAGAAATTAAATACTAATTACTTGTTGCATCTCCATTAGAACAACAATCCATATCAGGCAAAAAATAATAGATTTACTAATTTTATTTGGTTAGGTTTTTTTAAAATATGTTTTTATTGATTTCAGAGAGAGGAAGGGAGAGGGAGAGAGAGATAGAAACACCAGTGATGAGAGAGAATCATTGATCGGCTGCTTCCTACACGTTCCCTACTGGGAATCGAGCCTGCAACCCGAGCATGTGTCCTGACCAAGAATCGAACCACAATTGCCTGGATCATAGGTTGATGCTGAACCTCTGAACCATGTGGGCTGGGCTGTTCAGTTAGTTTTATTTGAAATAATGAAAGAGAACAAATCTAAATATTTTCTGATCTTTCCACAAGGACTTCCAACACCCCACTACTGTACCTCCCTCCTATAACCAGAATCAAAGTGGTAATAACGGTGTTTGTTCCAAAAAGTCACTTTGTAGTTTCTGATTTACATTGTACTTAATTGAGAAATATATTTCTTTAGAAATACAAAGGCCTAATAAGTATATAAAAACATTCAACTCTCTAGTAACCAAATACATTTTAACTTGAACAACAATGATATTCTGTTATTGCTCTTAAAATTTGGAAAGATTTTTAACATATTGATACTGACTGCAAGTCTTCAGTGAGATGGGCCTACTCATACAGGAGCTTTGACAATATTCATTTACATGATATTTGTAATGTTTTGCTAACGACATGAAAAATTAGTTACAATGGTAAAGAAAATTGTATAAACCTAATGGTTAAGAGTATAGATTATAACATTGGGCAACTCTGTGCTAAAGTCTGTTTGGCCACTTACTAGCTGTATAGCCTTGGGCAACTCACTAGTCCTCAGTTTTTCCATCTGTCAAATGGACATAACATACATGGCTCACAGGATGTTACCATGTATGTGAAGCACTTAGCAGGTTGCCCAGTACTTAGGAAGAACTCAGTAAGTTGAGCCACTTCTTTTCTTACTCTGTTCAGTGTAGTGTCAACCATGTAAAAACTGTAAAAAAGGATGGGAAGAAATTATGCTACTATATATTTTTTTAAAGGTGGCTAGCTCGATATACTATATAATAATATATTTCTTTATTATTTTCAGTATTCTCAAAATTTCCTAAATTTAACATTATCATTTTTATATTCATAATCATGTAAACAACAAAGAAGAAATAAATATATATATGCTTAATATTATATATATAGATAGCTTATTTAGCCAAGAAAATGTTAATAGGGTCCTAAGGGTTACTATGAGATATCTAAAAGACTTCTGAACAAGGATTACTACAAGATATCTAAAAGAATCCTAAACATAAAAGAATTCTGAATATGATATATATTATTTCTTTCAAAATAAGTATTTGATTATTATAGAAATGCCTTTTGATTGACTTATTCTGATTTTGATTGTAATGCCTATTAATAACCTGAGGAAATTATAAATGTCTTTTCAAAAGGAAGATTCATCCAAGAAGGTTTTTTTCCTTTCAGTTTCAATATATGCGACTGTATGACCCAGAATTGAGTGTGTGTTGTAGATTTAATATTTGTATATGCCCTCCCCTAAAAGCTCTCAACGAAGTAGATATAGAGGGAATATAGCTCAAAATAATAAACACCTTATAAAAGCTGAAACAAAGGATCAGGAACAAAACAAGGATACCCACTCTTGCCAATTTTATTCAACATAGTATGAAAAGTCCTAGCTATAGCAATCAGACAAGAAAAAGAAATAAAAAGCATACAAATTGGAAAGAAAGAAATAAAACTGGCACTATATATAGAAAGCCCTAAACCTACTAACACTATTAGAACTAATAAATGAATTCAGTATAGTTGCAGGATATGAAATTAATGAGCAGAAATCTACTACATTTTTATACACTAATAAGAAGCTATCAGAAAGAGAAATTAAGAAAACAACCCAATTTACAATAGCATCAAAAAGAACAAAATACTTAGGAATAAAATTAACCAAGGAGGTGAAAGGCCTGTACTCTGAAAAATATAAGACATTGGTGAAAGAAATTAAAACAACACAAACAAATGGAACAACATACCCCATGCTCCTAGAGTAAAAGTTTTCATACTTTTTAAATGTCCATACTACAAGGCAATCTACAGATTCAATGCAATTCTTATCAAAATACCAATGACATTTTTTACAGCACTAGAACAAACAATCCTAAAATTTATATGGAACCACAAAAGACCCCAAATAGCCAAAGTTAAGAAAGAAGAACAAAGCTGGAGGCATCATGCTTTCTGATTTTAAACTATTACTACATAGTAATAGTAATTAAACCAGTGTGATATTAGCACAAAAACAGATACATAAATCAATGGAAGAGAATAGAGAGTCCAGATATAAATCCATGCTTATATGTTCTATTAATCCATGACAAAGGAGTCAAGAATATACAATGGGGAAAAGACAGTCTTTTACAAACGGTTTTGGGAAAACTGGACAGTGCTACATGCAAAAGAATGAAACTGGACCACTTTCTTACACAATATACAAAAATAAACTCAAAATGGATTAAAGACTTAAAAATATAAGACCTGCAATCATAAAACTCCTAGAAGAAAGCATACACAGTAAACACTGACATCAGTCTTAGCAGTATTTTTTTGGATCTGCCTTCTCAAGCAAGGGAAACAAAAGAAAAAATAAATGGGACTATACCAAGCTAAAAAGGTTTTGCACAGTGAAGGAAACCATCAAAAAAATGAAAAGGCAACCTACTGAATGGAAGAGATATCGGATAAGGGGTTAATATCCAAAATATATAAAGAGCTCATACAACTGAATATCAAAAAAAATAAACAATCTGATCAAAAAATTGGCAGAGGAACTGAATAGACATTTCTCCAAAGAAAA